AGTTGTGAGCTGCCATGTAGATGCTGGGAATTGAACCTGGGTCCTCTGGGATAGCAGCTGGTGCGCTTAACCACTTAGCCATCTCTCCAGCCCCTTGCTTTTGTCTTCTCGTTCAAATACCAAGAGAGAAAGAAATATTGGAGTCCTCAGATACAATTGTGATTTTATATATTTCCCCTTAAATTTTATTTTAATTATTTATTTTTTATGTGTACATGTTTGCGTGTGTTCTTGTGCTCACATGTGGAAGTCTGAGAACAACTTGAGGAAGTTAATTTCCCCCAAGACCACGTGGGTCCCAGGGATTGAACTCAGATCTTTAGGCTTGGAGACAAGTGCCTTTATGCACTCAGCCATCTGGCTAGCCTCTCTTCTCTTAGTTTTTGCATTTTGCACTTTGTAGCTGTTATTATATACATTCCCATTTAGGATTACTATTTTCTGAATTGATCTTCTCCCCGTCCCCGTCTGTCCGTCGTCCTCCCCCCCCCCCCCCCCATTTTTCAAAACAGGATTTCTCTGTAGCTTTGGCTGTCCTGGAACTTTCTCTTTAAACCGGGCTGGCCTTGAACTCAGAGATCCACCTGCCTCTACCTCCTGAGTGCTGGGATTAAAGGCGTGCATGGCATGAATTAACTCATCATTATATAATGCTTTTCTTTGCCCCATTTCTTTGTATTAGAGTTTGTTGGATTATAACGTATCACTTGTGATAGACAGAATAATGGCCCTCCAAAGATGTCATCATCCCAATGCCTAGAACTTGTAAATTAGACTGAAATGGGGGAATTAAGCTTACAGGTGGAATTAAAGTTATTAAAAAGCTGACCTTGTATGGTACCAATAGAACTACAAAATTATTATTATTTTCTGGGCGGTGGTGGCACACACCTGTAATCCCACTACTTGGGAGGCAGAGGCAGGCAGATCTCTGTGAGTTCAAGACCTGCCTGGTCTACAAAGCAAGTTCCAGGACAGCCAGAGCTGCTACACAGAGAAACCCTGTCCCAAAACCACTCCCTCAAAATTATTATTATTTGTTTCTTTACTTATTTTGTTGAGACAGGGTCTCACAATGTAGACTTCTTGGGCTTAGAGCTCATCCCCAGACCAGGCAGACCTTGAACTCACAGAGATCTGCCTGCCTTTGCCTCCCTGGGACTAAAGATGTGTCCTGGGGTCTTGTTGTTGTTGTTGTTTTGTTGTGTTGTGTTTTTGTTTTATTGGTGTTTGTTTTGTAAAAGAGAGAGGCAAGTAAGAAAGTGAAATTCTGAAATAATATCAAGATGGAATCAGTGAATGAGATGGTTGCCAGCTTCAAAGATGGAAGAAGGCTGTGGGCCAAGGAATGTGGGCAGCTTCTTACAGCTAGACAGGGCAGTGAAACTGATCCCCTAACCCTAAAGGCTCCCATTGTTTATTTCCTTTGTAGCTGGAAGACTGCCTTTCTATGGTGACCTTTTCAGGGACTCTGTTTAGCCTTGAACTTTGCGTTGACTATCAAAATGGGAAGTTTATCCCCAGAATTTTCTTTCAGTCAACAGACTGCAAAGCATTAAAACGCATCCTCCAGGTGATAATTATGCTTAGACAACAAGATATGATAGAAAGTTAACATTTTATGAATCTAATAATATTCTTGTATGAATTTGCATTCTGGGTTAAAAATATAGGGCAGACTGTCAGCGAACCAAGACACTGTGACTAGCCATTTTCCTTTCCCATGTCTGCCAAACAAATTTATAAATTGGACCAGTATCTTAAGGCAGATATCGTTTTCTCTCTTTCTTTCTTCTTTTTTTTTTTTTTTTGAGACAGAGTCTACCATGCAGACTGGCCTGGAACTAACTATATAAACCACGCTGGCCTTGAACTCATAGAACTCTGTTTGCCTCTGCCTCCTGAGTGCCTAATAATTTTGAAAATAGAACGAGAATCAGATGGTTTTCTCTCTATGATAACTTCTCTTTCTCCCACAGACAGAGCTGCCAGTGCCTTCCTCTTTAATGCCTTCTGATCTCAGCACCTACCATAAACACTAGGACACCCTGGCAACTCTCCCTCTGCTCCTCCAGATGGTGCCCATTTCCCAGAACCATCCCCCTCATTATTATGGAGATTTTGGTTCAGTCCTCTCCCAACTGCAGGCTTGACTTTCCAGTGTGCTCTTCCAAACGTTTCTGGATGTCTGAGACACAGGTCTTCTCTCTTTCCCTGGACATTCCGGTTGGCTTTCTCCAGCTCTTTGAAGCCCACCATCTTTTTGGGTTACGTCACATTGTCCACATACGGTATACCTTTTGACACTCATGTCTTTATCTCTGTGGAGACTACACGTATAATTCTTTTTTTTTTTTTTTTTTTTTTTTGGTTTTTCGAGACAGGGTTTCTCTGTGTAGCTTTGTGCCTGTCCTGGATCTCGAGCTGCAGACCAGGCTGGCCTCGAACTCACAGAGATTCGCCTGCCTCTGCCTCCCGAGTGCTGGGATTAAAGGCGTGCGCCACCACCGCCCGGCATATAATTCTATAAGGTGACGAGTGTGCTTTAAAGTCCCAGACTTAGCCAGGCAGTGATGGCGCACGCCTTTAATCCCAGCACACGGGAGGCAGAGCCAGGTGGATCTCTGTGAGTTCGAGGCCAGCCTGGGCTATAGAGTGAATTCCAGGAAAGGCGCAAAGCTTCACAGAGAAACCCTGTCTCGAAAAACCAAAACCAACCAAACAACCAAACAAATAAAGTCCCAGACTTAACCCAACCCTACCTTCATACAGTCCTGGAGATACTGAGACTTAGCCAACGTCATTCAAAAGACTGATGGAAGGATCTGATCCTTCCAGCCCACTGTCAAGCAGCTAGCTCCTGTCCCTCTGCTTTGTTCTTGAGACAGAGCCCTGTTAGAGAGTAAGGGAGCAGGGATGCTGGCTGCCTGTTTGCTTGGACACACGGAGTGTGGCCTTGTCCTCTTTCTTAGAAAGAAATTTGTCAGCCCATCAGAGGGATTGGCATCCTCTTTCACAGAGAGCTGAAAGCAGGATTCTAGCCATGTACTCATTTCCATTACGTCTTTCTGGTGATGCATGCTTTTTGCTTGTCTTTTTTAGATAACTCGTATGTTGGGTCATACTTTTGGAGAATGGTCTCCAGATACCTTGAGTTTACTGTCCTTGACCAGGACAAATTTTATCTAAGGGTCAGTGTTACTCAACATGTGACCACATAAGCCTACTTTGTTCAATCTGGATGCTTTGACAACTGTATGAGTACAAAAAATATACAAAATGGATATAAAATAATTTCTATTCCCTAGAGACAGATCAAAAAAGAAAAAGTTGGGAATTTGTTGCACTTACTAGTGTTTTTAAAGGGAGAGAGTAAAAACAGAAGGTCAACAGAAATATATTATACCTGGGGGCGGGCTTTGCATTGGCATCGGCTCAGGCTGGTCATGTAAGTTAATAAAAGATAACTGGGCAAGGTGGGGCATGCCTTTAATCCCAGCTATTTGGGAGCTGAGTCTGGAAGATTACAGGGTTCGTGTGAATGCCGAGCATGACCCTGTTTCAAGCTGAAATTTAAAAACAAGTTTAGGGGCTCAGCAAGATCCCTCAGTTGGTTTAGGAGCTGTCTGTCAAGGCTGATGCTCTGAGCTCAATGCCCAGGACCCACACGGTGGAAGGTAAGAAGTAACTCTAGCAGGCCAGTTGTCCCCTGACTGCCACGTGTCCACACCCCCACACAAACACACATACAAACACACACACACATGCACACACACCCCAAAAGCCCAGCTTGGAATGTAGCTCAGTGGTCAAGGGCTTGCCTAGTATGCACAAGGCCCTGGGCTCAATTCCCAGTTACACACACACACACACACACACACACACACACACACACACACAAATTAATAAAGTTGATTGATGCATTGGAATGAGTACGAACTCTAGAAAACACACCTAATCCAAAGGGAAGCAATCAACACTCAGCCAGTTGTTACCATGTGAGAAGACAGGCCCAGCGTCTTCAGATCTGCTTTTGTTTCAAGAAAACCAGGACTTTGGGGTTTTATATGAAATTATTTCACCTTAAAATGCTGACAGACAGCTAACCGGGCGGTGGTGGCACACGTCTTTAATCCCAGCACTCGGAAGGTAGAGGCAGATGGATCTCTGTGAGTTCGAGGTCAGCCTGGTCTAAGGAGGAAGTTCCAGGATAGCAGGGCTGTTACACAGAGAAACCCTGTCTCTAAAAAACACAAACAAGGCCGGGCGGTGGTGGCGCACGCCTTTAATCCCAGCACTCGGGAGGCAGAGCCAGGCGGATCTCTGTGAGTTCGAGGCCAGCCTGGTCTACGGCGCGAGATCCAGGAAAGGCGCAAAGCTACACAGAGAAACCCTGTCTCGAAAAACCAAAAAAAAAAAAAAAAAAAAAAAAACACAAACAAAAAATGCTGACAACTAGCCCAAATCGGAGGAAAGGAAAGAAAGAGGAGAAGGAAATAGGGGGCAGGAGACAAAGGAGCGAGGAATGAGAGAGGAATTGGGAGAGAGAGAGAGAGAGAGAGAGAGAGAGAGAATGCCCTGTGAAGTCCAAGCAGAACAATGCATACCCCAGTAGCTGCTTGTTAGTGGCTCTTGCTTCATACAAATTTTTCAGTTTCTTTTCCCAGCAATTCAAATTGTGTGTAAGAACTTAATTTGGGGCGGGAGGGGGAGCGGAAGGAGGGATGAGGGGGGAATCTGTGATTGGTATGTAAAATGAATTTTTAAAAAATTTTAATAAAAAAGAACTTAATTCAAGTTGGTCATGGTGGAGCACCTATAAACGCCAAACTTGGAAGTCTGAGGCATCATGGTCTTGAGAAAATGACTCTCTCTCTCTCTCTCTCTCTCTCTCATACACACACACACACACACACACACACACACACACACACACAGATGGGAGGGGCTTAAATAAATGTGTATTTAGAAACAGATAAATGACAAAAGCAGAATTTCCATCGTTTTATCATTTTCTAAGTCCAGCCAGTTTTTTTATTAAAGATGATCATTACATCATATTAAAAATGAAAAATTAAATTTAATTACACAAGAGATAAGGGCCCAACAACTGAGATACACGTCTACATTTTATCTGAGTTTTAAAAGAGTGATCAAATGTAAAGACTTGGGATTTTCATTTGTATTTGATGATCTAGAGAGCACTGAACTTCTAAAATTCACTTCTGATTTTAGGTAGTTAAGGAACTTTCAGGGCAGTATATTCGAAATTCAGTTGCAAAGTAGCAACGCTAAAGGAACTGAAATGCAGTTGTCCTGATAACCCATTCTTGGATTTATTTTTTACCTATAAGGTTCAATCCACATAGAAAGTGTGGTGCTGTCACACCCAGAGTTGGTAACAATCCAGAAAAATGGGTGGGGAGAAAAACTTGTCAGCCAAGAAGACTGAACAGTTCAGCCTGGCTGGGGCTCTTACTCACAGTTACATTTTAATAATAATGTGTTAATAGACTTTGTATCTCACTTCATAGGAGAGATTCGCACCTCTTTAGTCACGGCAGTCCCTATTTTCAGCTTCTCTCTCTAGTCTACAGTTTTTGCAAACTTAATATAAACCTATCCGTTTCCACTACTTCTTCTGCTCTTAAGTCAGAACTGAGATGCTTCAAAACGTGTACTCCTCTGCTGTCTCAGATTCTCCCTACCCTGACCCCTGCCCCATCTTGGAAACCCGGACTCCTGCCTACTCTCCATCCCGGTTCCCACGGTCTAAGACGCCCCGAGCCTCCCGCCCCGGCTTCAGTGCTCTCTGTTCCGCGGCAGCGGCCCCTGGTGCCCCCGCCAGGCCCGCAACCTCAGCCATTCCAGAAATTGACAAAGAAGTTGCAGAGGGAGTGCCACTTCTCGGCGCAGTAGGTCTCGGTGAGCTCGGCGTTCTGGTCCAGCCCGTCGGGCTGGAGCTCGGCCACGGCGGGAGGCTCCGGGACCCGGTCCGAGCCCGCCTTCCTCCCGCCCGCGCTGGTCTTCGCCCTCGAGGGCTTCTCCTCGGGCGGCGAGCTCGGGGAGCGCACCGGCTGTCGCGGCCGAGCCCGGCTCCGCGCTCTGGGCCGGGGCTGCTCGGCTGGACGCGCCGACAGGGTGGGGTGGGCGGGTGGGTGTAGCTCGGCGCCCGGCTTCTTGCGGGCGCACAGGCGCGGTGGCAGCGGCGCGGGGTCCAGGCAGGGTTGCGGCTTCCTACGCAGCGCGCCCAGCAGCCGCCTCCAGTAGTGTGAGCGCCGGGCGCCGGAGGTCGCGCAGCGCTGGGGATGCCCGCGGTAGGCGCAATGCAGGCGAGCCCCGCCCGGGGCCTGGCAGCGCAGGGCCAGCTCGCCGCCCGTCGGCGTCCCCGGGGCTGGCACCAGGAGCTGCCAGCTGCACGCGTGCTGCCCTGGGCTCACGAAGCGACCCGAGGAACCGCCCGTGGGGCCCGAGGCCGGGCCCGCCTCCCTACCAGCAGCCCCCTTGTCCTTCCGGGCAGCCGCGAGGAGGCAGCATCCCAGCAGCAGCAGCAGCAGCCTCAGCGGCGAGGGCGACGCCCGCGGCCTCGGAGGATTCCTGCCTGCGGTGGCCATCCCACTCTTCTGGGGTTTCTGGGGCTTCAGTGCAGGCAGCACAAGGAGAGGAGCATCCTTGGATCTGCGGATGAAGGCCACGGATCAGTCCCACGCAGCCCTTTCCCTGGTCACAGGAACCTGCCAACTCCCCTGACTGGACTTTCTGGAAACCAATGTTCTCAGTTAGCTGCGAGGAGCCCCTCTAAAGAGTTGTCCTAGGGGGACAACTTACTGTTTAAGGGATCGTTTTTTGAAACGTTCATTGAGATAGGAAAATGTTTAATAATCACCCCGCCACCCTCCACTAAACTGTCTACAAAATCATTTCAGGTTAATTGTAGGATGCATGCACTTTTAGCTTACCGAATTCTAGAAGAGGTGGAGGGGTCCTATCAGAGCAGAGCGAATGACTGCGTAAGGGATTAGTCTGTTTTAAACGGTCCTCTGTGAATGAACCTGTTATCAATGGGACAGAAGGGGCCTCCCCCTCTATGCCCCTCCCAGACTTCTCTCACACTGGATTTCCCACACTACTAACACACACAGAAGATACACTCTCGTGCAGACCCACAGAAGTATGATAGAAGCGGCCATGTGACATGAAACATAAATGCTGTATTTTGCTTCCATCACTGAAAATAAGGCAAATGTTAACAAATCTTTCTTTTCTTTTGAAACTTACACATTTGCCTGAAGAATAACAATTAAACAGGAAAACCTAAGTTTTAAGATTAAAAAAAGATAAAACAAAAATGTTCGGAATCAGATATTATTTGACTATTTGCAGTTTCCTTTTTCTTTCTGCATTACATGTAGTGTGTGTGTGTGTGTGTGTGTGTGTGTGTGTGTGTGTGTGTGTGTGTGTGTGTAAGAGAAAACCCTGCGGGAGCCGATTCTCTTCTCTCCCTCTACCTCATGGGCCCCAATGATCCAATTCAGTCAATTCAGTTTGTGGGTCCGGAAGCGCCTTTACCTACTGAGCCATCTTGAAGGCCCCATTATTTTCGGTTTTTCATATCGCTCAGTACTGTATCCATCCAGGGGTGGATATTTTGGTTTTTGACTATTTGGGGGTATGACAAATTAGTCCTAAATGTCTTTCAAAACTTACGTGTTTTAAACGGAACTATTCGTTTTGTAGTTAGAAAGTAATACAAACTCAAATGGTGTAATATTTAAGTATTAACCTGTTCTTGTATGCGTCTACAGAGGAGGGATAGACTTTGGGTCTGATTAATTTTGCTGTGTGTCTTTTTAATTTACAATTTTTAAAAATTTATTTATTTATTTATTTTTAATGTTCATTGGTGTCAGGTCCCCTGGAACTGGAGTTACAGACAGTTGTGAGCTGCCATGTGGTTGCTGGGAATTGAACCTGGGTCCTGTGGAAGAGCAGTCAATGCTCTTAACCACTGAGCCATTTCTCCAGCCCCTAATTTACAATTTTTTTATGATAAAGTTTATAAAATGAAAGAGTTTTACACTTATTATTTATTAACTTATTTGCTGTGTGTGTGCTCCAATGCTACGGCACACTTGTGGAGGTCAGGAGACAAGTTTCCGAAGTCTATTCTCTCCTCCCACCATGTGAGTCTCAAGGATTGAAGGATGGAACTCTGATGATCAGGCTTGGCAGCAAGCCCCTGGACTTGCTAAGCCATCTTATGAGCCCCCTTCCTTTTGAAATAGGGCCTCATGTACCCAAGGCTGGCCTTGAGTTCTGACTGTGACCTCGTATTTTAAGCAAAGTTTTTTTTAAGCTTTGGGGTTTTGTATTCACCCCCTAATATATGTTATCTTTTTTTTTTTTTTTTTTTTTTTGGTTTTTCGAGACAGGGTTTCTCTGTGTAGCTTTGCGCCTTTCCTGGTACTCGCTTTGGAGGCCAGGCTGGCCTCGAACTCACAGAGATCCGCCTGCCTCTGCCTCCCGAGTGCTGGGATTAAAGGCGTGCGCCACCACCGCCCGGCCTATCTTTTTTTATTTTAAGAGTTTCTTGCCAAGGGACTGGTGTCAAGGTAGCAAGAGAAGACTGGCTCCACAAAGTTGTCCTGTGATCTCCGTCAGGCACAGTGACACATGCCCCTCCCATACACAGCAATAATAAGAGAAAATGTTTTGGGCTTTGTTTTGCTTAAAGCACTTACTCCCCCAGGTCACGTGGATGTTGCTCACTAGTAGAGGTCTTACTTAGTGTGTCCAAGGCCCTCAGTTCACCCCTCAGTACTGAAAAAATACTTATTTCCTAAGCTAATGTTGGTATTAATTATATTAGCAACATTTTTAATAAAAACAAATTGGTACCTACATAATTAAGAAATGCTAACAACATCAAAACAGGAACACTAACAAAAGTTTTGTAATTATCAATGGATAATTAATGAATTTCACAGATGGAAATACTTTCTAAATTTCTTTCTCAGAAAAATATTCTCGGGACTGGAGTGATGGCTCAGTGGTTAAGAGCACCAACTGCTCTACCAGAGGACCCAGGTTCAATTCCCAGCACCCACATGGCAGCTAACAACTGTCTGTAACTCTAAGATCTGACACCCTCCCACAGACATACATGTATACACCAGTGCACATAAAATAAAGATAAATTATAAAAAGAAAAAAGAAAAAAAAGAAAAATATTCTCACAGGTAAAGCACCAAAAGTAGTCACAGACTTTATTTTTTTCTGTTGCTCTGGTATTATCAAGGGCTCCCTGACATTGGGATAGATTTTTCAGCTAAAGAGTGACATCTTGTGGCATTGTGGTCTAGTTGCATAAAAAGAATGTAAACTAATGAGCTAGTTCCACAGACTGAGCTGTCATAGGCATTACTCCGAGAAGAAAAAGGAAAGGTACACAGATGTGCTATACACGTCCGAAAAGGCAAGACAAGTTCAAAACCATGGTAAGTGAAACAGAACACGTGTAGCCTGGTGGCTCTTGCCTGTCATTCCAACACCCTAAATGCTGAGGCAGGAGAATCAGACACTCAAGGCTAGATGGGGCAGCACAGTGAGGCTCAGGCCAGCCTGAGACACAAGACCTTGTCTCAAAAACAAAGACAGGAAGAAAGAAACTATAACGTAAAACCTAGCGTTTTAGAGGCTTGGGTGAAAAATGTTTCCTGCCTTTACAGAGAACTGGAACTTGGTTCACGGCACCCATATCGGGTAGCTCATAGCCGATACTCCAGCTCCAGGTCATCTATCACCCTCTTCTGTCCTTCATGGGGACCTGCACTCCCATGGATACATGGGTACATACACATGATTAAAAAAATAAAAATAGGAGAGATGGCTCAGAGGTTAAGAGCACTGGCTGTACTTCCAAAGGTCCTGAGTTCAATTCCCAGCAACCACATGGTGGCTCACAACCATCTGTAACGTGATCTGGTGTCCTCTTCTGGCCTGCAGCCATACATGCTGTGTACTAAATAAATAAATCTTAAAAAAAAAAAAAGAAAAATATTCAAAGTCTCTTTAAAAAATCAATCAATCAATCAATCTTTCCAAGGGAGGTCCAACTCTAGCAGCCCTGGGCTCCTGTGGATCCAACCATCTCTCCTTCCCCCGGGACTACAGCTTGAATGTTCCAGGTCCCTCTTGGCTGAGCCCGCTGTGGGGAGGTGTGGCAGAGTAAGGCCTACGTTAATTGTGAGTGGTTTGTGGAATTTTCTCTTGCCATTCTTCTCTATTCTGGAGCTCTCCCAGAGTATGTTCTTGAGTGTTTGCACTTCACGTGTGAACTCAGGGGTTTTTATTACTCTCCTCCATTAATGTCATTCCACTGTCTCACGGTTGCCTTCCTAGCCCTGACCTTCCTCCCTCTCCTCCCAACTGCGTTCTAGCTGCCTCTTAAGAAGAAAGAGGCTGCAGGATTGGAGTAGGTGGGATGGAGCCTTTTGAGTCTCCAGTCCAGACCTGTCTCCAGTCCAGCAGTACCTGACTTGCTGCAGTTCCTCCTAACATCTGATGGCAAGGGTTGGAGGTGTTGGATCTGGCCTGGCCCTGGCCCCTGTACCTTAGCCCTGGGTGGCCAAGTAGAGGGGCATCCATACCCCTCAATAAGTATAAGCACTCTAGTTGTAAATGCCCCCACCTCCACCAATCACAGATCCCAAAGCACTATCTCCTGGTAAGTAGGCAAGCAGGTGAGCTTGGCCAAGGTGAGGGCTTTGTAAGGGAGCAGCTCCCTGGTACTGAGGGGTCTTGCAGCACAAAGACCATTGGTTCCAAAAACCTCAAGAGGCACCTCTGGCTCCTGGGACTGAGGAGAGCTGGTGTCAAGTCAGGAGAGCAAACTACTCACCAGGACAGTCGAAGACAGGGTTGTGTCTTATCCCAGGAGCCATCCCTGTGGCCCTCCCATGGTGGTCTGCTGCTTGTCCTGTCCTGCCCTCCTGAGCTGCACAGTCCTCACCCTCGGCATCCAGGAGAGTGTGGGAAAAAAAAAATAACCCACCTAGCAGGGAAGATGGCTAGGGGAAAACCCGGTGGCTGCTCTCACACCCACCCAAGCCTCTGTCACAGGGCCAGCCTTCAGAAGGGCTGGTGTGAAAAGCCAATGCCCTCCCAGCCCAGAGCCAAGCTCCCACCCCTCCTGGGCCCACAAGGGAGACTGCACATTAACTACTGAATGAAGAGGAGCAGTGATGGAAATGTGAGCCCTGGAAAGAAGTGATGCCGGGAAGAATAAATGAGAAGTCTTTATAACAGGAAAAAACGACCATCTTAGCCATTTAAAAGTATATAGTTCAGCAGCGGTGAGAACACCCACACTTGTACAGTCCTTGTCACATCCGTCACAGAACTTTCTTCACTTGTCCAAATAAGTTTGTCTCTGTGGGGCTGGAGACATCGATGCTGTGGGATGGTCTGTATGTCAAATGTGTTGCTGATTGGTCAATGAATAAATCACTGATTGGCCCGTGGCCAGGCAGGAAGTGTAGGCGGGACAAGGAGGAGAATAGAGCTGGGAAGTGGAAGGCTGAGTGAGCAGACTCTGCCAGCCGCCATCAGGACAAGGAAGATGTAAAGTACCGGTAAGCCACAAGCCACGTGGCAAGGTATAGATTAATAGAAATGGATTAATTTAAGCTGTAAGAACAGTTAGCAAGAAGCCTGCCACGGCCATACAGTTTGTAACCAATATAAGTCTCTGTGTTTACTTGATCGGGTTTGAGCGGCTTGGGACTGGCGGGTGAGAGAGATTTGTCCTGACTGTGGGCCAGTCAGGAAAACTCAAGCAACAAATGGCGCCCAACGTGGGGCACGAGTTTCCACCTAAAAACTAAAAAAAAGGATTCTAAAACAGAGCTAAAAACAGTTCCTAATTGTCTCTCTCAAATGAGTGGCAGCTGCCGGTTTGAGCTACTGGCGGGTTCCTAGCGTGTGCGCTCGACCTGCCGCCATATGGCGGGAATGAGGCCTCTGCAAATGGCACATTAAGCTGCATTGTGGATTTAGCCTTTGCTAGTACAAAACAAAAAAAGAGGTTTCTGGGCTACATGCTGCTTGGATAAAAGCATAGACCCACAATGGCTCCCAGAGCTGGCGGTAAGCATACCGCCGCCATGTTGGGAAGCTGAGGTGGGCGGAGCCAGCAGCCACAGCAGCTGCAGCTTAAAGCAATAGATTCACAATAAGACAGATTCAGATGTAATAGTTTAAAATGTGTGTAAAATATACGTAGGCTTAAAAGAGACAAAAAAAGGTGATATATACAGTATAGAAACAAATACATAGTTT